AAGTTTATCATCTTCTATTTTTGTGGTGTTTATGCGCTTTTAAACGACTAAATGCATGGTTACATTTCTGTGTTAACATTTAACCAAGGATTGCGTCCACTGCGACCCTCAGTTGGTCCCAGACAAAACTTAAGGTTTATTTTATATTCTGCAGATGTAGTGGGCGAAAACCAGCGTGTGCAAACTGCCTTAAAGAAAAATAAGGATAGTGTTGCTCGACGTGATAGCGAGAATGAAGACCGCCAGAGTGATGATAGTGTCGAAGAGATCAAGGAACCCTGCCCCAAAAAAGTCTAGAGGTATGTAAAAGAATCTGTTCTTGTGCACAACTTTTGCATAATTGCTACATGTGAGTTCGTTGTATTTCCGAAGACATTGTTAAAAAAAGAGATTGCGTAACGGTACCCGCGGGTGACAGTTTAAAATCGTTAAAGTGTACGTACGGAAAGATAAACAACAGGCGAAAGAGTGTTAATTTTTCCGCTTTTCATCGCGCGCAAAATGGCATGGCTTCACGTAAGACTAGTGCGCTCAAATAAAGGGCATGCATATTGCTCCCGTCAGCGGTTTCAAAAACCAATTTAATTTATAGGAGAGAAACACATCCACGGCCAAATATTTTTAAAAGAATGTAAGACGGCGGGTATTTTTGAAAAAGAAAAACATTTTCCTACAGATGTTCAATCGGAACAAAAGTTGGGTCATACTGCAGATTTTGAGTTAAAAGCTGTTGAAACTGTTAAGATTGTTAGGGCCCAGTCCCCTTAAATACTCAGTAGTTTAGTTTGGCTATTTATTAACCTCTGTATTGTCGCAAATGTCGCATATCCGTGAGGTTTTGGCCGTAGAATATCGTATTTGAAGTGTACTAAAGAGTTTAAAAGTCGGGCCCTTCTTAGGTCCGTAACCCCTCAAGACTGTAGCAAGCCGCCACCGCTAATTTAATGTCATTCTGTTTCTAAGGACTAATTACAGGCCTCAACCTTAGTGGCCTCCACGAAAGGTATGAGGGTGTCCTGGACATCTTGGCAAAGAAGAAGTGCTCCCTTACCAAGGCAATGAGGGAATATGGTGTGCCTAGGAACACTTTAAGAGACTACATAGGAATATGTGAGTTAAAGATAATTGACCCTGACAAGTACGAAACAGTTGTACAGCAGGAATCGGGAAAAAGCGGCAAAGCGTCGGTTAAATGCATTGAAAAGAGTTGTCGGTTAGCCTTGAAAGAGTATCGGGCTCAAGCTAACAAGATGAAAGGAGAAGGCAAACTGCTGCCTTTCTACCCCAAAGAGGATTTTTACAATACAAAAGATTAGTTGAGATGAGCTTAAAACCGGTAGTTTCTTGCGTTCTTTACTACATAGCAGTTTAGATCAAATAAGCTGCAACATTTGCTTTTGGTTTCGTTAATGTTAGACTGGTTGAGTTGGATGTTTACATCAAACGAAAAAAGGCTGCTTAGCTGCTTCGCGTACATATGTCCACTATATTGTGATAATTTGCGTTACAATGTTAATTTAAAAAGCACTTTTCGCTGACATTTTTTCCCAATATTTGCCGTAAATAGTTAACACGAGGCAAATGTTAAATGTTGGAAAGAAAATAATATGATAGCACACGACTAATGCATCACAACAAAAAATCCCAGTCACGTTTTCCATCATCGTAAAACCTTATACTCTTTACGTTAAAGACAACGAAGAACAAAATTGTCACGTGGTCATGCCTGTCGTTTGTCTCTTACCCTAAACGTCAGCTTAACATTAACCTATGTTTAGACGAGAAATACGTAAATCTTTCCTTGGAAAACTTTTTTTTTACTTTTCTTTTCTTAGATCCTATTTACTAACAAATTAACTGTCCCATCCAGTGGCATAATCGGTTTCTGGCAAATTTCAAATATTGTTTCCATTATAAAACAAATTCTTAGCATGACCTAGCACCGTTAATTTCTGTTCATATGTAGTCCAACTGAAAAGTATCATTATTGTCCATCTGGTCACGTTGATTTGTAACAAATTCAAGGGAATGAGCCGCTCGTTTCCTTGAAGTCGTTACAAATCAACGTGATCAGATGGACAATAAGTAAAAAACTTCTTTTGTCGTATATCTAAATTTCCAGCTGAAAGTAATAGGATTTATGGCCCAGTTCTAAATTTCAAATTAAAGGACCAGGCACTTTCAACTTTCAAGCAACAGGATGTTCAGTTTCAAAGAGCAGGTCTAGGTTATGAAGTAATTCACCAGATCACTGCTTCACTTGCTGGAATCAGTTGCAATTGTCATACATTATTGTCTAGTAAAAATAAATTTATCCTTTCTATTTCCTTTATTGCGTTGAGAGGGTGTCATGGGTCAGAACAACAGCAAAACGTACAACAAAATCAGCATAATCTTATTGTTTATGCCTTTCCTAAGCATGATGACCATCAGATTGCTACGAAAAATTATAAGCAATAAGTATGGACTAAGATTGATAGTACATTATCTCATTGTTTGTGTGTTAATTAAGTTTGCTGAAGAGTAAAAAATAAAACAAAGTCAGATTTTGTTTTTTCTATTTTATTTTGTTAATTGTCCATTGTTAATTAAGTTTGCTGAAGAGTAAAAAATAATGAAAATGAGAAATTGTTTTTTCTGTTTTATTTTGTTAATTTTCCACAAAAAAAATTAAAAGCGGGATCCATCCACAACAGCGTTAATCAATTGCTGTGGGCCATTGGGGTTTCTCGCGTTTTCTTTCCCCATAAACGACCGATACTCGGTGAGGTATCCCTGATGTGCACTATTATATTGGCATGTTGGCAGATTTAGAGATATACTGTCAACCTTGTATGGTGTTGGTGTGTATTCGCCGAATTGTATGAACCTATACATATCCACCGAAACATCTGTCTGCCGACCGAAATATCGGTCGATATATTGTTTGATGTATCGACCGATACATCGACCGATACTAGACACTATCTACCGATATATCGACCAATACTATCGACCGACATATCGATCCATACTAGATACTGTCGACCGATACTAAATACTATCGACCGATGTATCGACCAATCTATCGGTAGATATATCGACCGATGTATCGACCAATCTATCGGTAGATATATCGACCGATACTAGAACATTTACCAATCGGTCGCGTGTCGGTCGAGTATCGACCGATGTAAAGTACCGGTGAAGCATCGGTGAAATATCGGTGAAGTATCGGTGAAGTATCGGTGAAGTGTCGGTCAAGTATCGGTCAAGTATCGGTCAAGTATCGGTGAACCGCCAAGTATATCGATCGATAGGAGTATCGGTCGATACATCGGTCGATACTGGACCGATATATCGACCTGTACTCGGCCGAGTATCGACCGATGTATCGACCGATATACCGACCGATGTATCGGTCGAGGCCCCCATAAGATACATGATCCTAAATTTTAACGGTTAATTTTTTTTTACGATTGAAGACTAAAGATTTGTCAATTTTTGCGCCTAACAGCTAGATTTTTTGGTCGTTTTAGGGCAAAAATTAATTCCGTTGAGACCCTTTATAAAAGACGCCGAAAATACTAGTCTTACTCGGGCAAAAAAGTTTTTTTCATCAAAGAAATGGACATGAATATGTATTAATCTTTAAAAGAAATAAAAAAGCACTCAAATCAGGATGGGAAAAAAATAAATTCCGGGTACGAGTTCATTTTATGCAGAAAGACAGACAAAATATGAGGCATTATGAACGGAACGTCTTATACAATGGGCGACCCATCGATCTCCATTTGATTTCGAGCGTTTCCGTCCTATTTCGGACACTGGTTAGGTTAAATTCTGACACGTTCGTACGACTTCGGACACTTTCGTATAGGGTCCGTCTGAGTTCGATTGGTCTCTTTAAATTTCGAACCCTTCCTTTTAATTTCGGGCCCTTCCATCCGATTTTAACTTCGGACAGTTCCGTCCGCTTTCAGACGCTTCCGTTAGATTTTGAACAGTCGCGTCCGATTTCAACCGATTCCATCAATTTCGGGTATTTTCGTCCGGTTTCGGATGCTGGCACTGTCTAACTCCGGACAATTTTGCCATTTTTAATTCTTTCTTTCGATTTAATGTGGTTGCGTTTGACTTCGGTTCTGTCAAGTTTGATTTCGAAGGAAACGGCTTCATAAAATCATTGAATAAGCTTGTGACTAAATATAAGTCGTGTTGGTATAATTTTGAGCACATTCGCCGAAATAAATTATGAGACAAGCAATCAGCACATAAACATATAATTTGATTTAGCAATCCCTCGCAGTCATTTTAGTTCTCCACAAATTCCTCACTTTCTTTGATATGAAATTTCATCATAAATTCACTTTCTGCCGCGAAGGTAATTTGTGTTCTCTCACAGTAGAATTAATGGTCAAATATTTACTGACAATGCATCTGCGAAAAGACGTTTCGTCAAAGTCATTCAAACACCCTGCTGTTAGAAATAATTATTGTACAGACATCTTTACTATAGAATCTTGCACGAAACAGGTTGTGAAACCAAAGAAACTCAATCAATTTTTTCCTATCAAAGAAAAAAAATGGCTCGAAGGAACCGTTTTAGTTTGAAGTTAACTGAAATATTTTAACAAGTTTCCTCTTTCCAACACTTTTGCCAAAAATGTTTATATTTCTAACCCCTCCTTTTTTAAATAAAAAGCTCTTTGCAGGTGCTATCTTGAATTAACGAGGCTGCAAAATTACCACAGATCTAATTTTGGAATAAACTTTAAGCCAACTGTTAGCCAATAGAAATAGGAGTTCAGTGCAATTAGCTAATCAGAAGACTCATTATAATGCGAAGTACAGACGAAGCTATCTCGTTCGATTGCGATCCAATTAAGGGTAGTAGTTACGAGAGCCCCACATTAAGAACCAGCAAGAAAAACATCGCTTAAATCCAGAGAGGATATTACCGGCATATTTAATGCTGAAACGCATTGGAAACGTTTGTAGTCGGGATTGGACGAGCAAAGGAAACGAATTTTCTTCTTATAGGTAAGAATCAGCCCAAACTATACCTATGTACAATTATGGGTAAATTTGCCTGAAGAGCGCGTTAACAGGTCAACTTATCAACTCCTGTTGCGCAAAGCATTTTCTGAAGCACTGCGATATTCTCTATGCGTCGAAAGTTACATTTATCTCAAGTGATTCCTTTTCAAACAGCTGTAGCCAACATGCAAATTTAAAAATATGGTTAAAATGCTTCAATTCTAGGCGTACTTAAAATTGGACTTTCAAAAGTTGTTTGATTTGCGAGGAAATAGAGAAAGAAAGTAGAAAATATTACAAGGTTATTTCTCACTTTCAGCTGAAGCTCCAGTTTGTTTGAATGAGGATCCACTAGATTGTTAAAACAACACTTTAGCACTTTTTGTTTTTAGGTGCTTTCAAGTAACACGGGCAAATAATAATTTACAAGTAAACAAGGATTAAAGAATAGGCACCTTTGTGCAATAATTAATAGATGGCTTAGTTCAAACGTGAAGTAAATTAAAAACGAGACATATCCACCCCTTCTTAATTTTCTGATCATCAATGCATCAAAAGATTCTATTCAGCATATGTTATGCTCAAAGCGAAAATGCTCCTTGTTATAATCAGTTCGGTCAAACTAAGTGAAACAAAGACAAATTTTCCTTTGAGTCAAATCCCTGAGAAAACATGAATTTATTGGCATGGGAAATTCTAGATTCTTACCGGTTGTAAGCCTTTTTGACCTGAAGAAGATGATTCGCGAAAGGATATGGTTTATTTCTTTGCATTATCGGAATGGACCAGTCTCTAATATTAAGAAATCCGCGGTTGAAGATAGTGAGGAAGAGGGGAGAAGGGGAAACCTGATGATATTTTTTGAAAAGATGCCTCCAGATTCCCATGTAACCTTCCTACAAATGCACCTGTTTTATAGTATTCTGAGTTAAGTCTTTTTCCTCCCTCGTTAAGTACGCTAATTGGTTTGTCTTTTTTCGTCAAATCATCTTGGCGTAGCCTTAGGTGATGGCTTAATGTTTGTTACCAGGATTTCAATGTTTATATAACATCGTACTTTGATGACTTATATGTTTATGTGTGCATGTATCAAGGTGAAGCAGAGGAAATACTCTTGAAATGTGCATAAACTGTGGCTTTGAAAAGGATATAACACAATAACTTCCTAGGACAGTTCTGTGTTTGTCGAGAGATGATGCACTCCGAAAAAATTGAACAGAGCTCAAATACCTCAGAGCTCAGTTACCCATCCTCCATGTTCTCAAATCTTTCCGTGTCTTCCGTCAGCTAATTAGTAAAAAGTGGTTATCGGTCAGTAAGGATAAAGACAGGGTTTTAAAACCAGCCAAAACAAAAGCAAATGTCTAAAATTAAGTCCATAAGTGGTCTTCTCTTCTTCGCGAAATCAGAAGTGTTTTTCTTTTTGCAGTTTCAATTTTCAATGCAAGCCTTATAAATCGCCATGTTTTATAATATCACTTTCTTATCAGTACAATACCGCCACCGATTTACCTATTCTCGCCAAGCGCGATCTTGATTAAATAACTTGAGAAAAAACTTTAGATCTTGCCAAGCCAATTTTAGGTTAAGCTTGCGAAATTTTCTACATAGGGGGGATAGGTGCACAACACACGTCTCATCCCCAAAGTTTTCTTTTCTATTTTTTTCGGGGGATGGAGGGTAGAGCTATAGCCCCTCTTCCCCAGCCCCCTCTGTTTCGCTTGGCTATAAGTGGAAAAGTATGAGAAACGATTACTTGGTTCTGAAAAAACTTACTTTTTGGTACATTAAAGGAGCCGCATATGCTGATAGCTGTGATATGGAGACCTTCAAAGTTCTGAGAGTGCTGTGTGCGGTTATTTTCCTACTTATGGTATACAGGACACCATGCGCTAACGCCATCAGCAAGTGCGAATCGCAAGGGTCAACTTTCACAAGAGCTCTGAAAGGACACACCTATGACACATTCGGGGTCAACAGCCCGGATGTTTGCGTCAAGAGATGTGAAAAAGAAAAAAGATGTCAGAGCATCAACTTTGTATTTGAAGAACATATCTGCGAACTGAATAATCGTAGCATGGAGGCAAGACCAGATGGCTATGTAGTAGATCCGAGACGGATTTACATGACGGTATATCTTAATAGAGGTGGGTGTTAAAAAAAATAGCTTAAGGTGTTGATTAAATTTATCGGTTGCCCAAGGTTTATTCCTAAGTGTATTCCAAGATTTTCCTCTAGAGATTATCATGGGGAAATGTAGTGGATTTCCTTTTGCTTCGTTCCTAGTTTGTATTTCTTATTTTGTTGCAACGGGTAAGTTGATGAACAATGACTTGTTAAGTTGTCGTTTGTTAGAGGAGGTTTTCCATGAGGATAGCCGATAGCTGTAATACAGCCAAAATTAGCCGTAAGGCGTAAAAATTGACAAATTTTAACCGATAGTCGTAAAAAGAAAGTTAACCGTAAAAAAAATTTTGATGACAACAGAAGAATGATGTTAACCATTAGCCGTAAAATGGCCAAACTTTAACCGTCTGCCGTAAAAGCCATCACCCCCCGGCCATTGAGACCCTCTTAGAGACAACGTACCTTTTATTTTTGATCATGGCAAAGAGTCTTTCAGTATGAACGGATATCATCCGTGATACTGGCTGTGATGGTGGTAGGGGTAGTGATAGAGGTTGGTGGTAGTAGCGATCGTCACAGTAATTAACCCTATACACCCTAACATCCGAATGCATATTCTTCACAGTGTTCTGTATACATTTCCCGAGGAACTGACAAGAGAATTTGTTTAACAATCAAGAGCTACTTTAGTTGTTGATCATTTTCTTTATTCTCATGACCTTAATGTTTGATCCAGGAGTGACACTATGAGGAGAAATTAGATTTGGAGTCGCTAGGGGTTCAAGGGTTGAAGTTCATGGCCCACGAGAAGGCCCTCATTAACCCTTTACACCCTAACATCAGTATGTATATTCTCCATACTGCTCTCTGTACGTTCCTTAATTTGCTGACAAGGAGAATTTGTTTAAAATCAAGAGCTTCTCTACTTGGTGATCATTTCCTTTATTCTCATGGCCTAAATGAGTGATTCAGGGGTGATATTGTAAGGAGAAATTAGATGCTAGTCTCTCTTAGGGATTAAAGGGTTAAGAGCTCTGTAGGACGCGCGTTCAGTATTTAAGTAAGTAAGATCCTTTTCAAACACGGTAAGAATGAGGGGTCGTGGAAGATTTGAGACCAGTCGGGGAGAGGTTTGTTTGAGAGGGTCTGTGTTTAGTTCAGTAAACTACACAGGAGCACTAAAATGAGTGCTAAACCTCTTGCAAACCTTTCCTCAAAGCCTCGTGCTCTCCCGCAAGCGAAAAACCGCTTGTTCCGAAAAGCTATTATTGAAGACCTGCTCACAAGCAACAATGAAAGTGGTAATGCACTGAAGTACATTGTACTTTATAAATCACTTAAATCCATTAAATTTTTCACAATTTTTATCTTCAGTTCCTCTTGGCTCGATCCCTGAACTGCCGGCCAAGTCGTGCGCAGAAATTAAGGCGAGTGAAGGAGAACAGGCTGTTAATGGTCATTACTGGCTTGACCCTTACAATACCGGCAAGAACGAGTGGACCAATTGTTATTTGGAGACAAAAGGTCTCTTTTTTCTCTTTTTTAACAATTACAATGCTGACGTTTCAAACAATTCGCAGATATAAAATAATTTTGATTTGTAAAGATTTTTACCCGCGAAATCTGAAGCATCATGGGTTGCTTCTTTTCAATTACATATCTTGGTTTATAGTGAGTGACCTCATTTTTCTTTAACATGAAGTTGTGCTACAAAGAGAGAGGTACCTTAATACTTCTGGATCATTTGTCGATCAACTTTTTTGCAAGGAGACCTCCAAAAAACTAATTGAAAGCTTTTGAACTGTTCCTCTTCCTCTTCTCTATTTTCTATCTTAGAATTACTTAACAATTATTCTGCTAAGACTCAGTGAATATTGTTGAATAATCCCCAAGACGAAGTTGAGGGGATTATCGGAGTCTGATGATTAGAATTGTGTTTTATTCTTTTGCGTTTGCCGCTTCCTGTATGACATTGCCAAAACGCGAGGCAGCCATTTTGAAATTTAGCGCCCCTGAGATATGACGCAATTCTCGACCAGTCATAGCATACGCATCTCTATTATCACCCGAGCAATTATAGCAATGTTAGATATTCATCACATTTATAAGGTAGATCTGTCTTCAATTCCTTCAATAATATTAATCACGCATGGAAATTGCTGAAGTGGACAGTGGAAAATTGACCCTATCCTCCAAGCATGACTCCTACCAGGTGCATGCGCAGAGCAGAACCTTCTTGAATTCTTCCTCTTTCTTCGGTTGCTTAATTGAGGTGTTAATAATAAAAAATTATTGCCATTGAAACATTAATTATGGTATCAATAAAATTTTCCAGGTTCCCTCTTTCACTGGACACTCAGTGGCACGGACAGCTCGCTAACGTAAGGAATCGAGTTCTTTAGGATAAGTGCTGACGAAAAAAATGCTTTGTCGTTTTAAATTATTCTACAACGGGAATTGAGGTAGTATTATTAAATAGGGCTCAGGATAGGATAATCGGGATAAAACTCAGTGAGGATAATTTTACTCTTAATTCCAGGTAATACTTACAAAATTACACACTAAGGAATTATATACCATACGTGGCTTCTAGGTTTCCAGTTTTAGCGATAAGTTTTGGAAGAATGTTTTTATTATTTCATCTGCTTCTTAGGCCTAATCATTTTCTTTTCGGCTCAGAACTTTATTCTTAGTTGCTGTCCAGAGCGATGTTCTTTCTGGCAGTTTGTTGCCTAAGCATGAAATGTTTTGGCGGTTTCTGATTGTGCGCAACAGACCCCACGACTCTTTTTCCTCAGAATTTTTTTTCACCTTCTCTTCAAGATCTTCTTAAAGAATTTAATTATTTTTTCACGTCATCGTTAAGCCCTATGATTTACTAAAAATCACTTTTGTTTTTTCTAGATTACGAGGAGCGGCAAAGTTTGTCCGGAAAAGCGGCAGAACTGTTCTGTATTTAGACGGAACCCAAGGGACGTTCGCAGAGACTTCATCAGTTCCTTTCCAAAAAACTGACCTAACAATTGCAGTTTGGATCTTTATAAAATCACCGTTAACAAGAAGGCAAGAAATTTACTCAGACTGGTCTTCTCCGCATCAGTTCCGAATTGGCATTGAGATAAATGGTCAGCTGTGTTTCCAAGGAAGACGAGACGTAGGTGGAGAAAGCGACATGATGACTCCATGTACAAAGTCAAGGTAAGTACAATTTTTCTGTCACGATCAACGAGGTGGCGATTTTCCACTGCGAAAACTGACCGTAAGGGTCACGCAACAGTTGAAGAAACTCCTTTGCAAATTTTTGGCTCGAGATGCAGCTTCAACTCTAAAATGAGGAGAGTTTGATTAGTTTGAGACTTCCGAAATACGATTTAATGACTCAATATGCTTGGTGTTCTGTCAGGGCTTAAGCCGGAAGTCCAAAATCCAAAGCCAGCTACCAAGTGCAATGCTCCTGTGCAGTTGAGCCATACAGTATCACAACATGCGTCCTAATACCTCGAACAGTAATTTGCTAGTTCTATGCATGCGTGAACTTGATACAGCGCTGTAAATTTGTTGGCGAGCAGCCGGTGGCAAAATCGGAACCAGTTGCCGAGGTTTATCCTATCCCAGGTGTTCACTGAACAAACGGCGACTCGATAGCGCCACCAGAGGGTCAAGAAATGAAGCAAAGAAAGAGGGAACGAGAAGAAGGAACTTGTTCTTTGCCTTACTTTCGACTTCCTGGGCCGCCATTATCGCGCGCAATTAATTAATTAATGCATGGAGGAAAGGCTAGCTGAGACTCGAATCCTCGCCAGGAATAGGAGTTTCTCTTTTTACCACGCTCATAAAAATATTTCAATAATGTCTTTCCCAAGTATTTTACTTAGTTTGTTACAAGCTTCACTCACATATGCGAATTTTATTTAGCTTTCTTGTGTTGAACGTTTCTTTTACAGAGATGTCGTGGAAACAGATGTTTGGAGACACGTGGCAATCACTTGGGGAAGATCAGAGCGCACGTTTAGGATTTACATAAATGGTGAAAGGAAAGTGAATCACGTTGTCAGCGATAATCCTGTCCTTGATTTCAAAAACTCTGGTCATGCTCTCTATGATATTGGCTTGAAAAGAGACAGTGGCACCACGGCTCTTGCATACTTCAGTGACTTGGTGATCTTCACACATGAGCTATCAGCGACTCAGTTGAAGAGTGACTTGTTTCTAAATCATCCCCTTCACAATTTCATCTAATTTTTCTTGTAAAACGAAGAACACACCCACATATTAACAGCGTTTTGCTGTTAGCATCTCATTCAAAATGAAGAATTTTTATACGATTTCAAGAAAATAGGGCACAGTTCATGAGGCACTGTGGGTGTATGTGTGTGTGACCCCTTCTCTGGCAATGAAAAATCTATCATTTTTGAAAGGTTAACACTTTCTCCCAAATGCCCCTAAGAAGCTAGTGCAAATTTAGGGATCCACCCTTGCTTTTTCAGGAAAGTCTTCTCCAGGAAGTCTTTTTCAGGAAAGTCTTCTTCAGGAAGCTCTTCGGAAAAAAAATGGCTCCGATGCGTGTCCGTGGGAGATAGTAATAATATGAATAAAAAATTAAAGAAATGAATTTAGAAGTGGCACAGCCTTGATATGGCTACTTGTATGGTTCCTTTTACGCAGATTTTGCAGAAGGGGAGAAACTGATGAGAAACCGCTAAGAAGATATTTGTTCAGTTGAGTCACTAGAAAATACAAAGCCTGCCGTGCTTACATCGTTAGGGACCCTACGCAGTCAGGAAGGCAATTCCGAGGAGGACGTCGATTTAAAAATGTGCTTATCCTCACATAGCGCGTCACAACTCAAATTTAGCATAACCTACGTGATCAGTGTTGAGTTCCAGATGGAAACTTTAAAAAAAATTTATGTCGGGATTTCCGCTCTCGGAGCACGTGAATTTTGGTGATTTCACTTTGCTGTTTTGCAGAGGACAGATGAAAAAAATCAATACAAAGTTTTAAAACGCACGTGCCAAGATATTGTTCTACCCATAAGATCTTTTGTTTTTCCACTTTGTCATCTCCGTCGCCGTCTTGGTTCACCTGAGGTCCCCCTTAACCTTCGGGGCCGATTCTAGACTACTTAGTCGAAATATAATTGGGTGATGTTACGGACACCTCTCTTGACCCAATCCGAGAAGACAAATGTTCTTGATAGAGCGACGTTCGATTGCATGAGTGCCGGAAAACCAAAACTTAAATTATCATCACAACTGATCGGAACAAAGGAAAATACCTCTAAGAGCCAGTAAATATATCTTATTAGATGTTTTGTTGTGTAGTATCGCTGAGTATTTTGACCTGAGTTGTGCCGTATTTTGAAGAGCCCGTAGGGCGAGTTATGATACAAAAAAAGAGTGAAAGTACTCAGCGATACTTCATATAAAAAAGATTGATAAGTTATTTATAATCCAATTGCTTTATTTTACCTATTTGTTTACTTTATTTAGGCGGGAAAAGCGAGGCAGAGAGAGAAGCGTAGCATGCGCAGCTAACCGATTAAACAGGTTTCTTACATTACAAAATAACCAACTGTGCAATATCGCAGGACATCTGTACTCTAATGCCGCGTTATTTTTACTCCACTTTGTGCAGCTGGATAATAACGACTCATAATGAAAACAACCAAACTCCCTAATACGTGCGGGAAAACACAGACGACCAAGTTGAGCTTGGTTTCAGTTTTGCATCTGATTGATTGGTTGAGAAAGTGGCGCGAGTTTTCTGAACCAATCACATAGCGAAAAACGGAGCAATCCAATATTACTTTCAAAATTCAATTCAAAATATTGATTGAGTCCTACTATCGCTTTGTTTTTTGAATATGGAGTAGATTTTCCGTATTAATTGAAGCTGAATCTGAACCCTGCAAGTTTATTGAACTTTCTTAACACTCTCTTTACCTCTTAAGATTTATGAAGGTTCTGTCTAAGCATTAAAATGATCCCCAAATCGACCCCTGAATAATCCCCAGACTTAAAATGATCCCCAATGAAGTTATGGAATGGTGATTAATGGTGAGGTGGATCAGGATGATAAGGATAAATTCTCCCAGACCCCCACAAAAGCTTCTCACAAATACACCTGCTTTTCAGTCCTCTATATGAAGTCTTATTCCGCCTTTTGGTAAATATCGTTATCTTTTCACTCCTAATGTCTAATGCCCTTCACGTGGCACGAGCTAAGCGTTCGAGCTGAGTGTTCGAACCTCTGTTATATTTACCGAAGCTTCTCGTTCCCCAAAAAACTCTTTCGTTGGATTTTCCCATAACATTGTTATATCAATAGCTATTACCCATCATGCACCGCCCACTTATTCGACTGATGACAACAAAGGAAAACACTTTTAACAGCCAGTGAATATATCTTATTAGACGTTTTGTTGTGTAGTATCGCTGAGTATTTTTACCTGAGTTGTGCCGTATTTTGAAGAGCCCGTAGGGCGAGTTATGATAAAAACAAAGTCTAGTTGTGTTTAGCGATTGCCATGCAACGCCCAGTTATCCAAACTTCAACACAGGTGTAAATTAAATGCCAAGAGGGACAGTTGATTTTTCAGCGTCTTGAATATACTCAGTAGGTGTCTCTGAAAAATGTTTTTGGGCACCTTAGGGTATCTTTGGGCACCTCTGCCTTAGATAAGCATAAATATCTTGCTGGTCCTATTTTGTCCAATATTTTTAGTGTTGCCCCCAGTGAGATGAGCATAGTAAGCGTTTGAAGTTTGTTGTCATAAATTCGCCAGTAAATTGGTGTAGTTGAATTGTACTGGTGCTAATTATTTCTATTTTTCATGCTGGCATTGGCATTTGCTCCCTGTGAATCATACAGAAAACAAAGGACATGTTCAAGCTGTGTATGGGGTGTTCTTTAGAGTCAGTAACAAACCTTAACTTCATTTTCAAAGGCAGGGTGCCATTTTGAAACGTTAGGAGAAAACGGGGCCTTCTTCTCTCACTAAATCAAGCACATTCCCTTTCTAAAAACTGTCAAAATGGTTTTTTTTTGCGTGGTTCGTGAGTTCAGGCAAACCACTTCCCGATATTGATAAAAGCATCTCACAGATGCACCCACGGCTTTTCAGTCCTCTGGGTGAAGTCTTTCCTCCCCTATCTGGGTAGCGGTATCTTTTTAGTCTTCTTTTTGCTATTGTCCCTAGCGTTACGTGAGGTAAACATTCGAAGTTCCAGTTGTTCCTCATTAGGAAATTCGGGTTACAAAATTTTTTTAGACCACCTGGTTCCACACTCTATTTTGCATAATGAATGTACTAAATAAGAACTTCCTTTCAAGCAGCAAGAAAACCTCGGCGTGAAGCTCCTGAGAAGTTTTGAGAGCGCTCAAGGTAGGTAGCAGTTGCACTCACCTAACTACGAACTACGCCTCAAGCAATTTTCATCTTCAGCATCCTTGAGAATTTCTCGTACGAGTTGCTATGATGGCCAAGTCAGCCTGAACGTGAATATATCAACACAAAAATCCTAACAAAGGTAAGTTTATGAAGTGCTTTGTTATTCTCCTTAAAAGGTGATTTTTAACATTTAAAATGTCAAAACTCACGAGCACAATTATCTCATACTTTGTGAGTTTGTTCATCGTCTACTTTTTCCAGTTATTTGGTTACAATTCATTAAAAGATCGTTTCCTTCTACTGATTTTATCCCTTATTTTTAAGATGATCACAAAGTTCTTTGAGTAAATTTCGTGATGTAATATTCCATGTTTTAGCTCAAGTTCGAATTGTTTTCCAAGTCTAATTTTTTCCTTTGTTGCGGGGTGCTTCCTTTCACTGAATCGCGAAAAAAAAAATCAAAGGACGTTTTCGATTTTTAGATACTGTTATTTTCGCGGGCTCACTGCCAAGATCTGCTCGACTCTATTTTTTAAAGGTTGCGACACATTTTAAAATGCGAAGAATTACCATGGTGTTTACCCTGTGTTTTGATACATTCTATTTTTTGTGCTAAGTTTTCCAAGTTTCAAGTTCGTATTGTTTATTAAGTCTGAAATTTTGTTTTCTCTGTGTGATCTTTTCTTTTTTCGTTCATGTGTGGTTCGTTGTCACAGGAAAACCTCTTTGCAGTATTACCAGCTTGTGCTAAATCGATTCTTGACCATGAATAGGCAGAAAGTTGATAAAAACTCCTCCAATAAATATTTTTTTATCGCGTGCGATCTTTATGAATCATTCCGGGCTCTGTGGGCTAAAAAACACTAAATATTTTACGAAACCAATTATACACTGCACCTGCGGTAATTTCCATATAAAAACACACTGGGAGTAGTCTCAGATAAATGACGCCGGCGTAATTTTGGGTATAATGCTATAATCAGAGCGTTGGGCATAATACAGACATGATGACTAAACTTTACAAAAATTCCCTCAATGTTACAATTCAACAGGAGATAAATTCTGTAGCCTGAGTATTGCTGATAGTGAGCCAACGTGCTTTTTTTACTTGCACTATAAGAATTTGATTCAATAAAACATTGTGTTCTTAACTTCGGTAAGCCTTTTATTCTTGGGAAGTTTTACCTGTTGGTGATAGAAAATAGGTGGGGTGGTGGGGGGGGGGGTGGTGCAGGGCTCTTATCGACTATTATTTCGAATTGTCAAATCGAGCATAATGAAACGCATTGAGCATTATTTTCGGCATAAACCTTGCTTTTAAGGTAGACGCTCAAAAGCCTACTCTCATATTCGAGCATAATTTATCTAAGTGAGAGTGGGAGGTGGAGAGGGCTGCTTGCGCACCCACAAATTTGCTTTTAAGGAGATTAGAGCCCCTCTCACACCCTGCTCCGCCGTCTGTGTTTTTGCCATCAAGAACATCAATATACTTTCCTTGGCAAACTCTGTCATAGGGGATGATATTCTCCTACCCAGTCCTTCCATCGTAGAATCTGGCTACGATATCAAGGGGATGATACACTGGTTGTAAGAATATTCTCTCTTTCATTTTCCTACAGAAGCCGCAAATAAGTTGATAGCCACAACATGAGAACCCAAACTGTTGTTGGAGCACTATGTACAGTTGTTTTCTTCCATTTGGTATCCAGGATGGCACATGCTAACGCCATCGGTAAGTGCAAGTCGCAAGTATCAGCCTTCCAGAAAGCCCTTCAAGGACACACATATGACACATTCAAAGTCAATAGCCCTGATGTTTGCGTTAAGAGATGTGATAAAGAAGAAAAGTGTCAGAGCATCAACTTTGTTATCGATGAAAGTATCTGTGAACTGAATAAGCGAAGCAAGGAGGCAAGACCAGACAATTATGTTACAGACCCAAGACGGATTTACATGACCGTAAAATTTGATAAAGGTGGGTGCTCTAAAAGTATCGTGATCTTAAATAGTTGGTCTTTTGATTGTATGTATACGTGTATGTATGTTTGTATATGTATGTGAATTTTTTATTTGGAGAGGGTTATGAATATTGAGATC